ACACTGAATATTTAGCTAGACTAGTGTTTTATATCAAGTTATCACTGCCTTAATCCTCCTCTTACAACCACCATTGAAAATCTCTAACAACTTTCATTAAAAATGCAAACGGGGAGGAAAAACACTGAAGCATCTGAAACCCATTTGTTTTATCACTTCTTCCTTTAGCTGTAACACCTTTTCTGGGGGAAAAAAAATCCCCCATACTTTTACAAATCCAAATTCAAATTAGTCCAGCTTTTCCCCGAGAGGAAAAGCCATCCTTTCCATGCCAAATGCATATTCTTTGCACCAGGCTAGTATGGGATCACACCCCCACACACCCTTCCCCCTTGGGTACACACACCCCACAAAAATTTTCCTGATAAAAGTTTCAGTGAGACCAGTTCTTTCATGCAGACAGTTGGGATTTTGACAAGTTGGCACTTTTTGGTGCAGAAGTGTTTAATCAGATCTCTCCTGACCAGCTCTGCAGCTGTGGGCCATGCACTGAGCACTCATCTCCCAGAGAGGAATCAGTTAGCTGAGCATGCCAAAAAGCAACTGAAACACTCCTCGCTGCTTCCAAACCAAAAAGCAGAGCTTCCTACAAGAAACAGCAAAAAGTCCCCCATTCTAAAAAATACATAGCAGTGCAGTCGTAGTGGCTTCCATGTGAAAATCTAAACCATTTACTACATAGCATAAATTAATTTCCAGCATCAAAGATAAGACTGTCTTTTTTATTCCTGGAAAGTTTGCAGCTTCCCTACATTTTGGTAGCACCACCTTATTTTCCGCCCTCAACAGCTCTGTGAAGCTTTACACTTTTTCGCAAATGTGTAAAAAACCCAGTTTCAATTAAGTGAATAAAGCGTTCATAAAATTTATTAAAGGATTTCTGAAATTCCTAGCTAGTAACTCTAAGAGGCTATGGGAGCTTTTCTTTTTTTTCATTCCCAGCACAATGAAGGTTTCAAGGGGATGCTTAGCGAGAGTGAGCTGAACTGCTCAGCCTCAGCGCACCGAAAGGAGAGCACTGCAAATCACCCCTGCTAGACTTTCACCAGTGAACAAATCTAAACCTGATATCTTTGGTGCATTGCTCAGAATACACCATGTCTTTAAGCACCCAAGCCCCTTAGAGGCTCTGAAAACGGAGCAAGGAGGATCGGACACTCAGGGTCCCCCGAGTATGCACAGACAGGTGAGTCACAGTGTACTGCACTTCGTGGAACAACCCGCCACCGCCAAGCTCGTTTGCAATATGTGAGTCGTTAGGGCACAGCACATTGAGATACACTGCTGCTTCAGAGCACAGCAGCACCTGAAGGAGAGCCAGCATGGGCACTGAGTAAATACCAGGGCTCTGCTGGGACATTGTTGGCAGGAGGAAACCAGAACTGCCAAGCAGCTCCAGTCCAACCCAAGCTCTCCTTCCCCTTCTTGGAAACACACTGGTTTTCCTCCTCTATCCCAGCAAGAAGCCCAGAGCTGCCAGAGCAGGAGACAAGGGCTGCATCACAGTGTAGGAAATGGCAGCAGTGAGGAAGGTGGGATATCTGAAGTGCATGAAGCACAGGTGGAAACCATAGGAGGATTGTGAGGTTTTAGGGAGTATAAGGTCTTTGGGGGACAGGGACAGACAAACTGGCCCAGTGACTCCTCGGGACTCTGTTTTTTTCTGGAGGGAATCTCACCACATTCAGCAAAGTGCTTTTGGGAGGGTCACACACACACAGAGTCCCCGATACCTGCAGCGTGGGAAAGGAGCCATCCAAGGTGCAGCAAGGAAGGGCCAGCAAACGCAAGCCCTAAAGCTGCTGCCTGTTGCACCACACTTGGCAAGCTGTGGCTTCCCAGGCGTGGGGCTGGCCAGAGCAGGAGGCGGCTTTCTCACCCCACAAACTGCAGAAACCAGTTTAACATGTGCCACAGCCTCCCCACCCCATACTCATGAGTAAAGCTACCGCGATTGCAAAAGTGAGGTATCCAGTTCACATGCTGAGGAGGCATCTCTGCAAATGGGGGTTGTGCTTGTTCCCCCAGTGAACTGGCACTGCCTTTGCTAGGGATGCTGGACCACAGCCACGTTTGGAAAGAGCAGGCAAGGACACGCACTTCAGTCAAAAGTACAAAGATTTGGGGAATTACTCCTGGCCAAGCCACTGCAAAATGGACCACTGTGCCTGCCTGTCCCATGGGAGTAATGCAGGGTCACCCCTCATGCAGAAGGCTGCACAAAAGAAGCTCCACTGGGTCTGTATGGGAGCATCCCCCAGTGCTGCACAGGCCCCACTCCTCTCCCACCAGCTTTTCTACGCCTATAGCTACCTATGCCTGCAGCTGAGTGGCTACAAAGGAGCCCAGAGATTTAACAGAGGGGGGAGGCAGGGCACAGCACGGTCCTCACCCTGGGATGGACAAGAGCCAAGAAGCAAAGGGCTGTTCTCACCCCGCAGAAGGGAGGAGGAAGGAAGCGGTGCCTGCTTGTTCCCGGGGCAGGAAGGGTAGCAGGAGCACAACAGACTGGCTGTCGCTCTCCCCTTCTTCTTCCCCCGCCGGCTGGGAACACACCCTGGCTAGGACCACAGCCCGGCAGACAGGCCAGGGCAACAGCCCCAGCCCTGCACTGGCCGTGGTTGAACTAGATGATCTGCAAGGTCTTTTCCAACCTTGATGATTCTGTGATTCTGTCCCTGCTCAGCGCCGAGAAGCCGGCCCGCAGGGAGACCCGGCGGCGAAGGGTCGAGACAGCCACGGTGTCTCCCAGCACTGACGGGCTGCCCGGAGCCCAGCGGGACGCGGGTTCCCCGAGCCTGGAAAAGCCCCTCAGGAAGAACCGGGACCCCCTGCCCCTGAAACACACCCCTCCTGGGGGCCCCTCCCCGCCCGGCAGCGGCCGGCAAGACCGGTCCCGCCGAGGCCGACCCCGCCGGGATGCAGGCGCTCCCCAGGTGGCCGCCATGGCGGCGCG